CTATTGCAGATCCGGACTTATTCTCCTCACATTTGACTGTAGTTGGTCAATTTCTTACGGCTTAAGGCTTAAAACACCTATTGTAGATCCGGACTTACAACACCTATTGTAGATCCGGATCTACAATAGGTGTTTTAAGCCTTAAGCCGTAAGAAATTAACCAATTACAGTCGAATCCGAGAAGAATAAGCGACTGTGATTCGCCCATTTCTTATGGCTTAAGGCTTAAAACCCTGTTGTAGACCCGAGGTTATGGAGAACTCGCTGATATACCGAGATTCATCTGGGACCATATTCTCGATAAATATCGCCATATTCACGAAAATATACAAAAATACTATATAGTATACGTCACATATACTATATTATAGCAGAGAGAAGAGTGCTTTCCAAGTGACACAAGTCTACACAGACAAGCATCATTCTATCCTTCTTATCATTCAGAGAATAACAAAGATAAAACGATATATATGTTTCCTAGTGTCACCAAATGGAAAGCACCCGATATGTTTCAAGAATTGTGTGCATTAAACTTTTGTCTTTTTTATATAGCCATCGGTTGATCGACCAATCACGGAGCGGAACACAGCAACATATCCACGATGTTAGAAATCAGCCCTGGAAAATCTCGAATGAAGAAAGAATTGACCAATCGCGCTTTATAATTATAGTCGAATTATTCAAATTTGATTTGTTAATTCTTTCTCTGTCCAAAGTTTTGGACCGATTTCTAGCATCGTGGAATACAGTCCTAAAACGTTATAAAACCAATCGGAGAACTATATTAGCATCTTAAAATACTACTTAAATGAAATAAGAACGAACTGCTTCCAAAACTGTGTCCTCACTTGAGTAACAAGAAACTTTTTATTGTTTGCTATCGTTAAATATTTTAGGCTAATTCTACAATGTGCTTTTTGTTTCCTATTTCTTGCTGTCTGTCTCTTGCCTCCTTGATCAAAAAGGCAAGAGACAAACGGCAAGAAACGGGAAACAAAAAGCACATTGTAGAACAGCCATAAGACCTGTACAATACAGATCATTTCAGCAACATTTGCAAATATTGCAGCAACGTTGCGCCACAGTTTATGCACTGTATGAGCTAGAGTTCTATATATAGAGAGAAGCGACATCGAACCTCCACCACCAAATCGGATCCCAACCATTACTCCCTACGCCGCCATGTTCCGACCGCTAAAATGTCGTAAACATAAACATACTCCAACCCAGTGATGCAGATCGGGCCGCGTTTCTGGCGCATGCGCGTCGAACGCAGCGTCAGTATCGTACTCATTACCAATAAACGGGAGTTCATTAGTCGCCTACGTAAAATTTGTTAAAAATTCTTAAAAATTAAAA